CCAAGCCAGAAGGCACTGAGTGATTGACAGCTGATATTAACCAATCATTCGCGTTCAGTGCTAGAGCAGCGGTGGGCCAATAAGAAGAGCGTGAAGGTGGGGCAAGCATTACGGACTTGGCTTTTACTGCAGCAAGTCGACATGACAACTGTTTTAAACCATTCCTGAGCGCTGCGTTTCGCGTTCCAAGTGCAGACAAAGAGCTTAGAGATGCATTCTGCGTGAATGTCTGCAGAATCCGCGCATGTGGTGAACATTTTGAAAGAAAAAGAGAGAGAGAGAAAAAAAACAGGTTTGGAACAAGAGGAGGGTGAGTAAATAATGTCAGAATTTCCCTTTCTTTTAAATTCAATTCAATTAAATTCATCTTTATTTCTATAGTGCTTTTTACAATGTAAAAACTAGCAAAAACTGGAAGAAATTAGGCTATCAAACTTTTACAAAATTTTCCAAGATGTTTATTTTAGCTGAAATTGCAATTTAGGAGCTACAACCTGGTGTATACTTCTGCGTCAAGTGACCGGCGTAGCCCACGGCGCATGCAACGGGCGTGGCAACACTCTCTCTGTTGGTCTGCATTAACACTTCCAAAACGCTAGTGGGCAGTGAGGTGTTTATGTTCCTCTGTGTCGAGTTTCTTCGCTGGTGCTTTGTTTTTTCTTAACGCTTACTGAATGTACGAGTGGCTCAAACTCGCTCAGTTTAAGGCAGGAACCGGCGGACATGCAACATCTTTAACTATGAGGTAAACACAAAACAAAACTTTCCATCCGGAGCTCCTTCACGGGACTCCACACTTGTAAACAATCGCTCCGTCGGGCTCGCGTGGCTCTCGGTGCCGCCCAGACTTGTCAGCGCTACCAAGTCGACCAATTACAGAACTTGCTCTATGCGTCGTTGCGATATGTAGTTAATTTTTTGATAGGTTCACATCAGGCGAAGGGCTATGCGTCAACGCGAAGGCTACGCAGTAGCATACGTGCACGCTTGACACAGAAGTATAAATCAGCCTTAAGAGTGAGTAAAACAGTAGCAAACTGTCATTATTGCATGAACTATGCCTTAAAGAACAGGCAACCGAAGGCCCAACAAATGATCAACAAACCCTACAAAACACCTACAACTACCTGAGATTCAGAACTTAATAAAAGGTGAGATACTAGCTCCACGACTGGCCAACAAAAAAAACCCCAATGGGACCAGACCAATGAGCACAGTCAATGGTTGTTTTTTCCAATATTCCTCATTTTATTTTTATTTGTGTTTAACAGAAGAGAGAAAAAACAGGTTTGGTTTGGAACAAGTGGAGGGTGAGTAAATAAGGACAGAATTTCCTTTTATTTTTAAATTAAATTTAAATCTTTATTGCCATAGTGCTTTTTGCCATGTAAAAACTGGAAGAAATCAGGCTATCAAACGTTTTGACATTTGCCAGATGTTTATTTTAGCTGAAACTGTAGCCTCTGGGGCTAAGAGTAAGTAAAACAGTAGCAAACTTTTATTATTGAATGAACTATGCCTTTTAGAACTGCCAACCAAATGCCCTACACAAGATCAACAAACCCTACAAAGCACTTACAACTACCTGAGATTCAGAACTTTATAAAAGGTGAGTTACTAGCTCCACAAAAGGCCAAGGAAAAACCCAATGGGACCAGACCAATGAGCCCGGGCAGGTTGACAAATATCTGGGGAGGAACTGTTAATTACAACAGAAGTTCTCCACTTGCCAGGTGAGGAGATAATTGGTTCTGTAACAACTCCCTAAAGGTTAAAGCCAAAGAGGATGGAAAATAACCCAGATCTCCTCGGTGGTCCAACCCCAACACACTGAGATAAAGTTGTCTATATATTAACACATTCAGACTTTCTCCTTAATAATATGATTTCAGAAAAGTATTCCAAGTAGAGAAATCTTATTAGCAGCCAATGACTATCAAAGTAAAGTCAATTAAATGGTGCTGATGTTGTTTTGAAGTCGTACTTGCATGTGATTTCAGACCAAATATTCAAGGTACCATGGTAAAAAATGTAACATTAAAAATGTGCAATTATAAAACCAACTTTACCTCAATTCCCAACACCATCAGCAGGCCACAATGTTACAGTCTGCAGCAAAAACACACACACGCCACGATAGCCGGCTCTCATCAACACTTTGAGCTGTACTCTAAAAAACTTTGAGTTATTTATTTAACCCAATAGTTGAGTTAAACATATTTGGTGCTTTGTTGGGTTATTTTTAACCTTTATTAGGTTATTTATTAATAATCATAATACTAATAATGTCATATACAGTACAGATACTTAATAAATAACCTACTATAAGGTTGAAGTATTAACGTTTGTTTTGTTTTTTGTTTTCACAAGCTTTGGAAATGGAACTTAAATTCCACTTTTAAATAATGGGTCACCTACAGCTTTCGTCATGAGGCTGTGTTCAAAATGACATCAATGTTCTCAATGTGCACTGCGAAGGAAGCGCAAATGTAAACATGAAGATCGCTAAAACTGAAAAATGTCAGAATGTTCTAAATGAATAGGGCATAGGGGGGATAAGAAGAAATAGCACACAGCCAGGAACTGTTTCTAACTACAGCTTCAGAGGTGTAGTTGCAAGCATACAAGTTTGTGACGCAGTTTACGAATGTTCGTTGGAACACAGATTTGGGAAATGCCAAATCAACAAGCTATGTATGAAACGATGTAATTCGTGACCTTAGTTGGCTAACAATGGTTTTGGGAAACGCACCCCAGTTGGGTTAAATATTTGGTGATTTGTTGGGTTATTTTTAAGCTGCCTTTGGTTATTTATTTAATAACTCAAAAAATTTAAATTAAATTAAAAATTTTAATTTCAACAGTCAACTGATTTAACTGACACAGAACAGCTGTATTAATATGCGTACGTAATGTTGATTTTGCGTGATAACGTTTATTTAAGCTCTAATTACCTCTCTGTGTCATGTTTTTTTTATTTTGTTTCACCAGCATACTTAATTATTGATGATACAAACGCGCATTTCATAGTCAATTTATTTATTCATTTTTTTTCCCCGCCTTAGTCCCTTTATTAATCCGGGGTCGCCACAGTGGAATGGACCGCCAACTTATCCAGCTCGTTTTTACTCAGCGGATGCCCTTTCAGCCACAACCTATCTCTGGGAAACATCCGCACACACTCATTCACACTTACACTCATACACTACGGACAATTTAGCCACCCCAATTCACCTGTACCGCATGTCTTTGGACCGTGGGGGAAACCCATGCAAACGCAGGGAGAACATGCAAACTCCACACAGAAACGCAGAGGCTCGAACCAGCAACCTTCTTGCTGTGAGGCGACAGCACTACCTACTGCGCCACTGCATCGCCTAGTCAATTTATTATATGGATTAAAAGCTTCTACCTCCTGTGTTCATCTGTACTGTGTTATTAAATAAATAACAAAATAAAGGTTAAAAAAATAACCCAACAAAGCACCAAATATTGAACTCAACTAAGAGAGTTATTAATAAATAATCTAAAAAGGTTAAAAAATAACCCAACAAACACCAAATGTGTTTAACTCAACTATTGGGTTAAATAAATAACTAACTAGTTTTTTGGGTGGAAAGATACACATATTTGGGATATTTGGTAGTCATCCTTACCTTTTAGAACCCAGCGGAGACATTTATTTATTTACACAGCCATAATTATAAAATTAATTAATAGTAGTACTCCTATAGTAATACCAGAATGGAAAAAATAACAATTAACCCATAATTGGGAAGGGAAGGAGCTATAATAACATATAATAACTATATATATATATATATATATATATATATATATATATATATATATATATATATATATATGGGGTATTCTAAACCCAACTATTTTAATAGAGTACAGGTGAGACATTATTATTATTATTACCCCGAGATGGAGGAAACACTCACAGCAGCAGCATTTGCGTCAGAGCAAAACACAACAGCACAAATTCCAGACATTTATAGTGGGAAGGCTTGGAGACAGACACTGTTGTGTTAAAATAGGGATCAGATATATGATGCAAAAGAGACACTACATGACATCTTTGTACATCCTCTAGTATTTAACCTCTGATCTATACACTATAGCATATTGTATGTTTATCAATGAAATAAAAGCATCAGCAGTGTGTCAAAACGAGTATTGCATGCATCTCTACGTAATATTATCAAATATAGCAGGGAAATAGCAGGGTTTATTTAGGGGGAAACCTGTGCTACATGCTATCAGCCTTCCTGCTCTTCACTAGACAAAGCAATTGCAAAAAAGTAAGACGTCACCTTTAAGGATTTCACACTCTGATGCAATGCTTTGAGGATTAAAATACCAAAATGTGCGCGGAATGATTAGAATATGATGAGTGTGTGTGTTTTTGTGTGTGTGGTAATTTCACATTCCTCCGTACAGCCGCCTGTGGGACATGAGTTTGAAACCCAACACCCCTGCTGTCACCTCTGAGAGAAAGACAGGAACACATCTTTCCCTAGGATATATGATTTTATCATCAACGTACTTGACATATGCACACATTAAATCGAGATCTGCAACACAATGTCAGACTTTAAGGTTATAATGACGAGCATCGATCCGTTAATTTGACAAAAGCATGGTGACTGGGTTTAATCTGAGAGGAAAACACACACACACACACACACACACACACAACACACAAGACGACTCTCGTAGCTGCATGGTTTAACCGTTATCTGAGAGCAAATCAGGCTAAAAACACACTCTAGTGTAAACCAGGCGGATTTTAGCATCGCAAACGGAGCTTTGAAAACAACAATAAAACACAACTGCTCGAGAAAAGTCCTGATGCATTGTTTCCGCTGCAAAATACAAACCCGCACATTGTTTCAAAACAAACCGCGGCTTTGACACAAAGTTGCAACGACATAACAATGTACATTCTTATAAGAAATACACACATTGTTACAAAACGACGATTTTCTTACCTTTCTTGGCGGAGGCTGCATGTTTGAACATTGGCACAAATGAAGTAAAATCCCAAAGAAATGATTCCCAGCGCGATCGGGGTGGATGACTGAGAAAACGGGGATCACACTGGCGTTCGGCTCTGGATTCAGACGGCCATGATGAAGCAGGTCCAGTCAGGCAGACGCTCAACAAACACTGCGGATCAGGGGAGAAAGTAATAAAAGAGAGAATATGCCTCCAAAGAACAGCCTCGAAGCGTGAAATCCAGTCCAACAGCGCCGCGGAACGGACAAGCGTAACCCCGCTGCACGATATCTACTACGACGAGGGTTTAGCTCATTAATATTAATTACGTAACGGGACGTTCGCTCACTGTGCTTTCCTGATTGGCTAAAGCGCGTGCGCTTGTAACGGTCAGATGGTTATTTGAATATTAAGAAGATAAGATGATTGGACAGTTCGAGAATGCGCCAACGTTGATGGAAGAGCAATTAATATTCATTATCTTCGCCTTGGACGTAGTAAAGTTATTCATCCAAATAATGAAAACAAATTAAATTGGCATTTATTCTGACAAGAGTTGCAAATTTAATTAGAGACTCTAAAATATGTACTAAAATATTAAATTACAGTGACATGGTGGCTCGGTGGTCACCTCACAGCAAGAAGGTCGCTGGTTTGAGTCCCAGCTGGGTTATTTCTGTGTGGAGTTTGCATGTTCTCCCCGTGTTGGCGTGGGTTTCCTCTGCTTGCCCCACAGTACAAACACATGCGCTATAGGGGGAATGATAAATTAAATTGGATGTAGTGTATGAGTGTGTGTGAATGAGTGTGTATGGATGCTTCCCAGTACTGGGTTGCAGCTGCAAGGGCATCTGCTGTGTAAAACATATGCTGGATAAGTTGGTGGTTCATTCCGCTGTAGTGACCCTTAATGAATAAAGGGACTAAGCCAAAAAAAATGAATGAATGAATCTTAAATTATTAGACTCTTTTAAAAAGGCTGTGTTGTTTCAACCTAGGATTAAGTTAAATATTGACAAAAAATTTCTGGGTTAATTTTTAAGCTAAATTAATAGACCAAATTTAAGCCAGTTTTTGGGTTTGTTCATATTTCACCCATATTTGGATTGGAATAACCAAGTATTTGAATGAAAAAACCTAATAGTCAAGAAATTCATTCATTCGTTTTCTTTTCGGCTTAGTCCCTTCATTAATCAGGGGTCACCACAGCAGAAATAAGCCATTTAAATGGATTTCATATACATATAAGTCAATAATATACACAGAAGGTGTATTAAATAATGGTGAAATGTCTGTTTTAATGTTTCAAATGACTTAGAAATGCACAGTAATGGGTTTAATTTTTCAAATTCGATTCATCTTTATTTCTATAGCGCTTTTACAATGTAGATTGTGTCAAAGCAGCTTCACATAGAAGTTCTAGTAAATTGAAGCAGTGTCAGTCCAGTTTTCAGTGTTAAAGTTCACCTCAGTGTGCTTTAATTTTTACTGCTGAAAGCCCAAACACTGACGAGCAAATCCATCAATTTGAAGCTCCACAAGTCCCAAACCAAGCAAGCCAGTGGCGACAGTGGTGAGGAACAAACTTTACTGATTGACAAAATCGAAGGAAAAAACACCTTGAGAGAAACCAAGCTCAGTTAGGAACCACAATTTCTTCTCTGACCAACCTTCTTTTGCAGAGCTGCAGTCTAGGCACTGATGGCTGGAGATCACTGGACGTCCATCGTGCACAAGCTGCGGGTGTGAGTAGGTCACGGCGGGAGTTCAGTCTCATGTTTCTCCACCCCATTTGACAGATATATTTATGCAAACCGAAAAACCATACTTATTCCTACTATATTTTATTCTATTATTAAAATGGCTGACATTTTTTCCTGTTTATTTATGCTTTTGAATTGCACTTTTAACCTTGAAAAGTTAGACAAATTTGACTTCTAGTTGATCATTTGGAAAAGTGGCAGAAGGTCGATCTGTTGATCTGCATCCCAATCATCACAAATACTGCAGAAGACCTACTTGAGCCAGCATGGACCCAAGATTCTCACAGAAATCAGTCAAGTTTGATAAAGGAAAAATCATGGTTTGGGGTTACATTCAGCATGGGGGCGTGCGAGAGATCTGCAGAGTGGATGTCAACATCAACAGCCTGAGGGATCAAGACATTTGTGCAGCCCATTACATTACAAACCACAGGAGAGGGACAATTCTCCAGCAGGATAGCGCTCCTGCTCATACTTCAGCCTCCACATCAAAGCTCCTGAAAGCAAAAAGCTCAAGGTTCTCCAGGATTGGCCAGCCCAGTCACCAGACATGAACATTATTGAGCATGTCTGGGGTAAGATGATGGAGGAGGCATTGAAGATGAATCCAAAGAGTCTTGATGAACTCTGGGAGTCCTGCAGGAACGCTTTCTTTGCCATTCCAGATGACTTTATTAATCAGTGATTGGAGTCATTGCAGAGATGTATGGATGCAGTCCTCCAAGCTCATGATGGAGCCACACACAATATTCATTCATGACTTTATATTCTATACTGGACATTATTTCTGTTCAGTGACAAGACTTTTGTCTAAGCAAAGTCAGACCTTACTGTCCTGATGAAATAATTAAAATCAAGACATGATCTTATTTTATTTTGGTAAAATAAGCGTAATCTAGAGGCCTTTGCCTTTCATATAAGCTACTTCTGATACCAAATAATCAACTAGAAGTCAAATTATTATTTGCTGTTCCTAAAACTTGGATAGACGACAAGACTTTTGTCAGGAAGTGTAGTTAATAAGGTGCAAAAATTATAACGATTTAAAATGAAAGTTATAGCATATTTGTTTGTGGCTGTACTGTGGACTCAAGTGATTCTTCTTGTAAATACAATAAGCACTTAACCATTCGTCCTTGCACGTTTTTGATCATGAGGAACATAAATTCAGTCAAGTGTGTCGCATTGGTTGTATACGTGCAGATTCGGAGACTGACCACCTAAAGTTAAGCTCAGGTTCATAACTCCACTGACTAGGGCTAATTATTAATACAGTATTGTGTGGAGAGTAAAACAGCAATCAAACACCAAGCCGTTCTTTCTTACTTTTGAGTCTCAGAGGAAAATGACAGACCTCCTGCAGGTCTGAAGAGGTGAAGATCTCATAGATGAACTCCACCTGACAGAAACAGAGGAACAGGTGAGTACAAAACATTTATTTATTGAGGAGTTTTGTCAGTAAGATGAATATTTGCACTGTAAAATGGATTGTAGGAAACCTAGCATTATGCTTCAAGTTGTATTTTAGCACACTCAAAAATGGTGTTTGCTTTTTGTCCAAACTACTTATTTAAAATGAGCTGAAACAACACAATTCTTGAGTTTTTGGGGACATCTTAATTGTTTTATGTTTAATTCACTTCAATTTGTAAAAACAAATAAGTTAACTTGGGGAGAGGCAGTGGCGCAGTAAGTAGTGCTGTCGCCTCACAGCAATAAGGTCGATGGGTCGCTGGTTCGAACATCGGCTCAGTTGGCGTTTCTTTGTGGAGTTTGCATGTTCTCCCTGCCTTCGCGTGGGTTTCCTCCGGGTGCTCCGGTTTCCCCCACAGACCAAAGACATGCGGTAGTGTATGAGTTAGTCTGTGATTGTGTGTGGATGTTTCCCAGAGATGGGTTGCGGCTGGAAGGGCATCCGCTGCATAAAAACTTGCTGGATAAGTTGGCGGTTCATTCCGCTGTGGTGACCCTAGATTAATAAAGGGACTAAGCCGACAAGAAAATGAATAAATGAATAATAAGTTAACTTAATTGCCTTCATGTTGTCCCAGGACAAATCGATATAGTGGAACCCAGCATGTTTACAGTGCATTAAGATATTTTCATATATGACATTATTAAAAATTACATTTCTAGTTGTGGCAGCACGGTGGCGCAGTGAGTAGCACAATCACCTCACCGCAAGAAGGTCGCTGGTTCGAGCCCGCTAGGTCAGTTGGCATTTCTGTGTGGAGTTCGCATGTTCTCCCTGAGTTGGCAGGGGTTTCCTCAGGGTGCTCCAGGTTTTCCCCACAGTCCAAACACATGCACTATAGTGAATTGGATAAACTAAACTGGCACTAGTGTATGTGTGTGAATGGAAGAGTGTATGGGTGTTACCCGGTGTTGGGTTGTGGCTGGAAGGGCATCAGTTCAATTCAATTCAATTCAGCTTTGTTTGTACAGCGCTTTTACAATGTAGATTGTGTCAAAGCAGCTTCACATAAATGGTCATAGTAACTGGAACAGTGTGGTTCAGTAACTGGAACAGTGTGGTTCAGGTTTTAGTGTTTAAGCATATATAGTGTATAAGCTACGTAAAACATATGCTGGATAAGTTGGCGGTTCATCCCACTGTGGCGACCCCTAATTAATAAAGGGACCCAGCCGCAGGAAAATGAATGAATGGATTTCTAGTTGTAATAAACACAGTGAATATAAACACTCAAACAATGTATTGTTCAAACTACTAGTTTAAAATGAGCTGAAACAACACAATTCTAAAGGTTTTTTGATGGGACAGCTTAATTATTTTATGTTCAATGCATTTAAATATCTAAAAACAATTAAGTTAACTTAACTGATTTGTGTTGGGGGCAGCACGGTGGCTCAGTGATTAGCACTGTCGCCTCACAACAATAAAGTCGCTGGTTTAAGCCGCGGCTGCGGGCCAGTTGGCATTTCTGTGTGGAGTTTGCATGTTTTCCCCGTGTTGGCGTGAGTTTCCCCCCAAAGTCCAAACACATGCGCTATAGGGGAATAGAATGAACTACATTGGCCATAGTGTATTATTGTGTGTGTTTGCCCCCCTGTTTATTTCTGTTTCTAATCATAATAGTTTTAATAACTCATCTCTAATAACTGATTTATTTTATCTTTGCCATGATGACAGTAAATAATATTTGACTAGATATTTTTCAAGACACGTCTATACAGCTTAAAGTGACATTTACAGGTTTAACTAGGTTAAT